GACAACAAATATTTTTTATATTAACCTCTTTATTCCAAAATAAACATTTTAAACAGAACAAACAAGCACACAAGTACAGGTTGCTCATTAACTGTACTGGTGCAATATGAAAAATAAATGTTTGTGTTAAAACTACGCAAACTTACATGAGAAATGTAGCTGTACATCCACAAAATATAGGCTACTTTGTTTTTAATAAAGCGCAAAAAAAGACATTTTTGTTTTTAAAAGCCCCTAAGGGGTTCAAACAATAGGCCCCCCCATTTGAACAAATGAGTTTTTTTAGACTACAAAAGTTCTGCCTTTTAAGACAGGAAAGTATAGCAGTTAAAGTTGCTACTTGAGAAAAAACTGAACCATAGAGATAAAAATAGCCCTGTGATTCAAATTATAAATTGTATTTGGAATAAAAATGAGAGAACTAGGGGTGCTAAAAAACACATCCTCCAAAGACAGATATTTACATGGGAATGTGGGAGATAATTAATTGACATATTACTGATCTTGCTGGATTTTATTCTGCTTTACTTCCATAAATTGCAGGATCTTTACTTTATCTTTGCCAGAAGATTGAAACTTTAAAAGTCTTGCCCTCATAATTTGCAAGTTAATTTATTTATAAAGGCTATTTTAATTATTGTGATCAATTTGTGCCGTCAATCCCGGTGCATGCGCGCTTCATTTGCAGTCTGGACGCTGAGGGTAAACATCCTGCGGCTCTGACTGCAGCACTGAGAGGGACTCCTGCGGGAGAACGGGGTTGGGATGGGGGAGGCGCCCCACGGCAGAGTAGGAACGATACATGCTTTCACGTAAGAGTCTCCAAAAGCCGCCAGTGACACCGTATAAAGTCGGCAGATTTGTCGCTAGTCGCTTTTTTGAAAAATAGTCGCTGGAGGGGTCTGAAAAATCGCTGAGTTGGCAACACTGCACCTGCGGCGCTGGCTCGCTCTGCCGTATTTTTTTCTTCTTCCCCCGTTTCAGTCAAGTGGCAGTGATGACGGCGGGGGTGGACGCATTAATCGCGCGACACAACTAATCGATGATTAAATTCATTGCCAACGCTTTTAAAAGTCGTTTTTTATCGATTTTATCGATTCGTTGTTGCAGCCCTACTCGACACGCAGCTTGTGGAAACGTCCCCTCCTCTACGGGAGGAACACCTCGAAGCCTCGGCTCATCTCATGACATCACTAGTTTTCAGTAATTTTGTATTTTTCTGGATTTTTGCCTCTGTCAGTCCTTATTAAATCATCAAAACTCTCCTCAGCCTACTCATCTCTGCGTTTGGGTCCTCATAGCCTCCACCCAACCTGGCAACCGCTTTAAATTAGTAACTGTTGGATGATGTTGAACATTTTAATCTGTGTATAATTTTGAGATAATCTTGAGATAATTGCACAGCTGATTATTGTTGCCAAAGTTTCTGTAAATCTGTTTCACTGCTGCTTAAGTTTAATAGAAAATAATGACAATAGTGGGATTTTCTATTCTATTTAATTGAATCAAACTGCTATTCATCTGGCTGAAAGGCAGCCGGAAAAAAACTTGTTTTTAAAACTGCTATTAAAGTAAAAATGAATATTTACATGTTTACTTTTGAAGTCATAAGAATGATTTTTGCTTTTTTTTAAATAAAACCAGCTTGCCTCCTTCTTATGGTACTTTGAGCTTCTAATACCCTCCTTTTTCATAGTACTTTGGCTCCTTTGTCTGTAGCACAGCAAACGGTGCACTCTGACTGCTCCTTTTTTATCTTTAATAAAAGACTTGTTTGTAATTGCATTCAGCGGGGAGTGGGGAACAAAGTTGAGTTATTGCTGGAAACAAGCTGTGAACAGTCACCGGAGATTTGATTGTTTTCTTATAAACATTTATTTCACACGCAGCCTCTAAAAGCAAAGTTCTACCACTCTGTGGAGTAATTTGATGGAGTCATTTTGTTTCCTCTTTTTCTCTGCTTCTCAACTCAGATTTTTTTTTTTAGATAACTTTGATTTTAGGATCGTCTGTTTTATCTTTAAAATAAAAAGTGTGTTCCGGCCCGTCGTCCTGATGCTGTATTTTATTTATTTATTACTAGAGAAACAGATCTAAGAATAAGTAAAGATGTCTTAAAATAAGGGTATTTGAGCAGGTAAATAGGATAATCTGCCTATGGGAGGAGTATTTTTGACCTTAAACTAAAATAATTAGATATTATGTTTTTGAAAAACAATAAGAAGCAGTTTCTACTTATTTTAAAAGTAAATTATTTTATTTTATGGGCAAACTGCCTTACTTACCTGCTCCAATACACTTATTTAAAGAAAATGTCAAACATATTTCCATTTTAGCTGCATATGTTTTCTGTCTAGAGCAACTATTGTCACTGATGACTGGCTTAATTACTCTTTCAATTCACCTGTCTAACTCCACCCGGTTTCCCATCAGTGCTCATCTTATCCACCTTCTCCTGCCTCTATTTAAGGCGCTTGCATCCAGTCATCAGGGCAGATTATTCTTGTTCTCTCTAGCCAGTGGTGATTAGAGTTCCTTGGTGTTTCTGATGTCCTAATCCTGACCTGTCCTGCCTCTCAGCCACTGAGTCTGCCTGTTCATGTTCCAATCTGTTTCCCTGACCTGACTTGGGACTCCTGCATGTGCAGTTTCCTGCCTCAGACGAATACTAGGTCCTCTTTTCTGAGTCTTGACAGCTATAGGTCTTATTTCCTGATGTAAATGTTTGCAGATAAATCTATTGAGGGATAAAGTTACCTTTATTTTAGTCACTTAAGATGTTCATAGAAATGTCTACAACATTTCTAACTACCAGGAGCAACAAGAACAGCAGCGTCCTTGTCTATCTCCAGGAAACTCTTAAAAAACCCACCTCTTCAAAGAGCATCTCCTATCCTAACTCTCTACCGTCTGCTTCTCATCCTGCGCTTCCATCTCTCCCTTTGCTGTCACTACTGATTCTGACTCACCATTTTCCTCTGGAGAACTTATTGTCATATTGATGATAACTGGAACATTATGTCTACTTTTGTATAACTCCTTTGGATAAACACATCTGCTAAATGCAAAAACATAAACATTTCTTTTATCTTTTTTAAAGCCGGATTATTAAACAAATGAAAAGAGAATAAATTATTCGTTTTATTTATCTGCCTTTTTTCAGGTCTTTATGATTCCTCGTTTTTTAAACATCCAAATAAAGATATTAATCATCTGTCTCTGTGTGTGTGTGTTCAAATATCTATATCTCATCATCTATAACCTGACAGTATATTGATTTTCCTAAAGTCCTGATAAACGTTTCGTTTCTGACGGGCAGAACCCAGAAACAGGCCGTAAGAATCAGGCTGGATAACAACCTGATTAACGACCCCTAAACCCGATGAGCATCAGGCGCCACCACCAGCAGGGGGAGCCAGAGGAAACCACTGCAAATGTTTTATTAACTGCAAAAGTTTTTTTTTGTTTTTTTTATCAATTTTTTTGTTTATTTTTTCAAAACTGTAAACAACAGCATAAGTTTGTTAAATGTTTCAAATAAATTCGGAACCATTTTTATTGAGTATATTACTTCCTGCATGAATCTACGTTTGATACCAAATCCAATTTTGTTTGGATTTTTGTTGGAATTTTAAATTAAATTTTGAATCTAGGTATTTTATGAATTTCTCCATCAGCTCTTTAAATGTAAAATGTTTGCTTTTAGGTTCTGTGTCGAACGAGGAACTGAGGCTTGGGCCTAGCTTGATTGTGATTAGCGATAAAGCTAATGCTAACGCCAAGTCAGCTAGCAAAACGTACCTAAAACTTTACTATTATATTACACAGAGGAAAAAATATCGCATCTTTTAATGTTTTGGGATTTAAACATTTTTTTATGAATAAGATTTTTTTAAATTTATGTTTTTTAACCGTAAGTTGAAACAAAAAACATTAAGTTTTGAAACAGGGATCAAAATAAGACCTTTGACTGAATTAAATACAGAAATTATAACAATAATTTTTATCAGTGTAAAATGGTGTATCTCTATAGGATGTCATTGAAAGGTACATCTTTGTCTGGACGATCATTTACAAAAATAAAGGAATTTTTGACACATATTTGTAGTTAGGGTTCCAACAGTAGAGCCGGGGTTCCCAACATGGGGATCGGGATCCCGCAGGGACCCACCATGACCCCGCAGGGGGTCCATGGAATGTGGTTGCTGAAGTAAATGTAGGTCTGAAGTTTTCAAGAGCCTCTGCTGGAGAGAATCTGCAGCTGCTGATCAGTACTTGGTCGGGTTCCCCATCTGTATGAATATCTCCATCAGTGCAGGGGGGGCATGGGGGGGCTGTGGCCCTGCTCAGGTGTTCAGGAAGCTCAGCTTCCCCTAATAGCTGCTGTTTGGATCAGTTGAAGCTCTGATTATAGACCGTTTGTTGCAAGCACAATCTTATCTACAGCATGTTTTCCTTCCACATAATTTACTTTATTTTTATCACTATTATTATAATCAGTTTGTATTTTATTGAGTTTTAAAGGTTTAAAAATCCAACAAAAGTGAGTCTTTTGGTTGAGGTGTTCCAGCAGCATCCCTAACTTTTCCTGCCTCTCTCTGCATGTTCCTGATCTCTGGAGCTGCAGCCTTTTTAAACTGTTTGCTCTCAGAAACAGGCTGATCTCTGCTTGACTGTCTGGATAAACACAGAGAGCCTCTCAGGAGGGCAGCCGCGGTTTGTCCAGTGGATTAAAGCAAACTTGGAGAACTGCACCCAGGAAAGCCAGAGACAATATTTAACTGCAGTTTCTATTTCTTTTTCCTTCAGAAACTGCAACTAAAACTCAAAGCTTCTGCCTCTCTGAATAAAAGCAGGTGTTTAGTTCTTTGTTTTTGCCCGCGGCTGTGCGCCCTCAGCGCGCAAAGCCAAGCGTCCATCACAGCTCCAGGAAAACTCCCACTAATCCAAAAGCATTTGCAGGAATCCATCATTTCATGCGCTTTGATTCCAAATCTTACCTGTTTTTGTCCCACTCCCTTCCCGCACCTCAACGCCCGTTTAAACCATCGGTGGGGCCGCCGCTACAATCCAGCTGCGCGTCTGGGATGTGGAGACATTTGCATCCAGAAGAGCCGGGAGGAGGAAAGCAGGGAGTGGTGTCCTGTCTTTTCTTCGCAGAGAAATAATCAAAATAAATGTAAAAAATCAGCTCCGGGTGAAAAGAGCCTTCTAACAGAGGAGCATCTGATCCATTGCTGCCCCGATAAGTCCAGGCAGGAGCCGCCTTATTTATGGTGGAACGTGACCAACACCAGGCTGTTTAAAAATAAAGAGCAGCAGGTAAAACAGACAGAGGATGGAATGAGGATGTATCCGGTGAGTCTGTTTGGCTCCGCTGGAGGTGGAAGCTCTGCAGCGGCGCTTCGCAGTTTGACAGCTCCGCTCTGCGCGCAACAACTTTATGGACACACCGGAGCGCTCCAGTAATCTGATTACTGGGAGAGAATCCCTGTAATCTGATTACTGGGAGGTTATCCCTGGCAGATAATTAGCTCTGATCACTGGTTTGCACAAAAATGACTAAAATGAAGAAGATGATGATGATTTGGCGCCTGAAGGTGAAATTAAGCATCAATAATGGAAATGAAGTGAAGATTTTCCAATTGAGCAAAAATAATAGATTATTATAACCGATCTAGTTAGAGCTGTCAGCGCCATCTATCAGCCACATTGCAGTAATCTTTTAACATTTACTACCTTCTACAGATAAACGTTTTATTTGTAGGATTTTTTTATTTCTATGATTTTTTCTTTATAAAAATCATAGAAAGCTTTTTGATAAAGCTTCTAGAGTGGCTCAGGTTATCCTGAGCTATCTCTATAGTTCTGCTGCTTTAGGCTTAGACTGCTGGAGGACATAGGGACTCCTTTTTCATCATTCTGCTTCATTCTATCTCTATTCTCCCACTCTGCAGAATCTGTTAGTTCAATCTCTAACGTTCTGCTCTCTCTGCTTTTTCTCATAGTAGCTTCATCTGGTCTGTTCCTGTTTGGCTGTGACTCCATCCTGGAGAGAAATATCAGCTGTGCTGCTGCCATCAACACCTTTGTTTCTAGATGTTGGAGCTTGGCCTGTTTTCCAGTGTAGTCCTGTTTCTCTGACTGTGACTAACTGGATGTGCTCTCTTCATCCTCTGACATGGGAGCTGGCTCGGAGCTCGTCTGCCTGGCTGTGTGTTTCCTGGACGGGGCCGCCTGTGAATCTATGCTTCTTTTTCTATGTCTGCTTCTGTCTCCTTGAACCCCAGTGGGCCTCAGCAGATGGCCGCTCACACTGAGCCTGGTTCTGCTGGAGGTTTCTTCCTGTTCAAAGGGAGTTTTTCCTCTCCACTGTCGCTACAAGCATGCTTAGTGTGAGGGATTGCTGAAGACTCAATGCAATCAGCTGGTTTTCCTTAGATAGAAAACTGAATTAATCTGACTGGATGATCTGGTGAACTGGAAAGTGACCTGAGATGACATGATGCGAATTGCAGCTATAGAAATAAACTGAGTAGAATTTCATCAGTACCATTTCTTAAAATTTTTAAATGAAATCAAAAGCAAACTGCGGTGTTTGAATGAATGATTCAAAACCTGCGGGTACTTGGCCTGTGTGCAGGGCTTACGCCCCCTTCTGGTGGGAAGCACACACTGCAGTGTAAATAAGAAGGAAACTTCTTGGGTGTTTGCAGCAAAAAATCTCAAATTTACCTTTCTATTTTTAAAGCTCATGGTTTCATTGCAGAGAGGTTTAAAAACGCACTTATTTCTTAGACTTTCCTCAAAATTTATTAAATATTTAAACCTTTTTTTTAACTTAAGGAACTGTGGCAGTTATGGGGTGCCCGAAGTGTCACAATGGAAAATGTTGCTTTTCGTTTTTAAATGTATTAATCATCTGATAGAGATTAAGAATATTTTAGATATCCAGAAATCCAATAAAGTTATTTATGTCCAAATGTGACACATTTATCTCCTTGCTGGGGTTACATCTTAATGGTGAAATGACTTGTTGATGTTGATAGCTGTAGACGTGTTTTCATACCCTTGTTTTCCAGCCTTCTTTAACTCTCGTTTGGTTAGAAAACTGGATGGAGTGACGCTCAGGTCTGATAGACGATCCAGCAGCCGGGTTTCAGTAAAACACATCAAGCTGCAGTATATTCTGGTCCTGAGAGGGATTGGAGTTCTACTAATTTGATCCCTCATAATCCATAACTGCCCCATAATTAGTCATATAATGGATGCCTTGAATTTCCTTCTCTTCTTTAAGCCTCTAAACCAGAGGTGTTAAAAATTGTCAACAAGTCTGAAGTATTTAAGGGCCAAAATATAATGTCTAAGAAACATAAAATTACCATTAATTTGCATTATTTCAATTCTACCATAAAATATGAGCATGCAACATTTTAAAGAACTGTTTCTTCTTCTTTACACTGAAAAAAAAAATGCAACCATTTTTAGGCGTTTACTTCATTCACATTAAGCTATTTTAACACATTTTTCATATTAGCAGGGTAGGACATAAAATAATTGTATTAAAGTAACTAAATATGATGTAGTAAATCACAAAAGCAGTTTAATTATTTTTTGCCAGCGTGGGAAAACTTTTTTTTTATAAGCCTAAACTGAAAAGAATTGAACATTTAACCTTGAGATACTCAGAAGGAGGAAATTATAAAGTTTGGCTGAAGATGATAGTTTTTATTAACCAAATCCAATTATATTATATATTATTATAAATATTTCAACTTTAAAAGTGGCCAAAGCTGATAGTGGGACGGAGACATAATGTTAAATATTCAGGTGTACAGTCATTATTTTTTCTGGTAGTAAAGTTAAATTAGCTGCTCTATTTTTGGTAAGTTTTTGCTCTATTTTTTAATTTTATTTTAATAAATTCCAATAAAATAAAATAAAAATGTTTTGTTTTGTTACTAAATGTGTTAAAGTTTAAAAAGCCTGAATAATCAGAGGCTGTAAACTCATCAGGGAAAGGTTCTGCAAAAGTTGCCCTCTGCTGCCACCATGAGGATATTTAAGAAACAGCACATGACAAGGTTGATCAAAAGTTTTTATTTCATGGTGAAAACGGTCCTCTCACACACTCACTCAAACACGCACGCTTGCTTTTTTACAAATTGCAATTTTCCAAGATCTGATCCATGAAGAAACAAACAAAAAGAAGAAAAACCAAAGAAAAATCAGATAAACACAAGTGATTGGCTTCTGCAGCACAGAAATAGAAATCCTACCGTCTGAGCGCTCGCTCTCAGACACACCAAAGCACTTTTTTATTCAATCATTTTACAGTATATCAGAAGAATATCATCCTAAGGCATTGAGAGAGGTTCCTTTTCTCCCCCCGTCCGTTTGTTTTTGAACTGAAGCTGCGTCTGAAAGGCATCGGCGGCTGGTTGTAGTAAAGAGGTCCTGCTCAACATTCCTCCTTGATGTAAATTTGTTCGTCTGTGTCCGACTCCAGGTGCTCCAGCCGCTCCGTCTGGCCGTTCATGATCTCGTCGGGGGTTTTCATGAACCTGCGGAGATGGAAGGCGGAGGTTATCGGGCCGCTATCGGAGGGGGGGCGGGGCAGAGCGACGGCGGCGTACCTGAACAGGAGTCTTTGTCCGGGCTCCTTCCTGATGATGTTCAGCTTGTAGTAGTGTCTCAGTGCTCGCGACATCTTCTCGTACGTCATGTTGGTTCTGTTCTGTGGGGTCAGAGATGACGTCACGTTTTAGCAGATTAAGTCACTTCCTGGTTGATTTAAAGGAATAGTACACCCAAAACATGATTAGCCTTCATTTTCTACTCACCCCCATGCTGAACACCACTCTGGAGTACTTTTTTGATTTCTCAAATGCATCTGGAGATCTGGGAGGCTTCTTGCCGTCTGCTGACATTCAAATAATGGAGGTCTATGGCGCCCGAGGCAGAAAGGTCCATAAAAGTCTACAAAATACGTGTCAATATTCCTCCATACTGCTCGTCCAATGTATTCCAAGTGTCCTGAGTGGGTAGCGTCCAGAATTTACTCGAAATGAAGTCATTTAGAATGTTTTTAGAGCATAAACAGTAGTGTATAGGATTTCCTAAAAGCGCGTTCACGAGTCTACGGAAACCGCGGCAGACCAAACCAGATGAAAGTGCGCATTCAGCCTGGCAAAGAACTCATGCTCTTCCTCAACACTAAAGTCCTCAGACATTTTTCATTCGTTGTTTCTTTCTTTTCACAGGTAAACAGCACATTTCTTCTTCTACGCTTGCATTATTGGCAAAGCAGACGCTGAATGCGCACTTTCATCTGGTTTGGTCTGCCGGCTTCCGTAGCGTCGTGAACGCGAAGGCGCGCACTTTCAGGAAATCCTATACACTACTGTTTATGCTCTAAAAACATTCTAAATGACTTCGTTTCGAGTAAATTCTGGACGCTACCCACTCAGGACACTTGGAATACATTGGACGAGCAGTATGGAGGAATATTGACACGTATTTTGTGGACTTTTATGGACCTTTCTGCCTCGGGCGCCATAGACCTCCATTATTTGAATGTCAGCAGACAGCAAGAAGCCTCCCAGATCTCCAGATGCATTTGAGATATCAAAAAAGTACTCCAGAGTGTTGTTCAGCATGGGGTGAGTAGAAAATGAAGGCTAATCATGTTTTGGGTGTACTATTCCTTTAACTGATTTTTAGACTTATTCGCATTATGTTTGTCATAATGGGTAAAGCTAACTAATGCAGGTAGACTTTTTTTATCCCTTATTAGAGCAAAAATTATAACTAAAATCTCAGAATATATATCAGCCTCTCCACAAACTGTTTTCAGATTTTCTCTTTTTGTTTCCTTCAACAGAATCAGTTGGACTTTTATTTAAAATCAACTGATAAATTAAGCCTAACCCAAATCCACTTCTTTTTAGGCATCTTAAAGAAGCTCAAAATGTAATTATCCTAAATTTATTTGCTAAATGGAAAAAAAACTGCAATAAAAAAGAAAAAAAAAAACTTGTGTTTTCTATCGATTTTTGGAAGCAGTTGGAGGACGATGGCGCCCACTAGTGGCTGAAACATGGATACCTCTCATGTGTTCACATCCGCTGCTGCCATGTTGTTTTCAGGAGTTATAAAAAGCATCAATCTGTTATTTTAATTGTATTTCTTATTTAATGGAAACACCTGAACTGCCAAACATTAAATTTACACATTTAGCAGAATATCTCTATATCTGTAACATGTTTCTGGTCTTTCTACTGGTTTGTGTTCTCTTTCCCTCCTGCTGATTAGTGATCTGCTCCTGCTGTGCTGCTCAGTCTAATTACGCCTCAT